TTCCTAGCAAGCCAGAGAGAGGAGCATGTGACCCAGGGACTGAGGTGACCACACAGGATGTTTGGGACCAAGGTAGAATGTCACCTTACAGGTAAGATCCCTTTTTTTTTTCTTTTTCTCTGTTCTTCCTTAAAAGGGACAGTTGGCATGTTGTGAGATGAGTTAGATTATCTTCACTGCACTCTGGTCACATCCATAAGCACTCAGATTATCCTCTCATGCACTCCGGACACATCCATAAGCACTCAGATTCCCCTCTCAAATTAAATATTAGCGTCATGCGGTTAATAGTACCAGTCTGTGTTGGTTAACAAGACTTTGTGTGCGTCCGGTGTGCTTCTCATGCTTGGCTGTGCCGATCTTTACTCCCAATTCGCGTATTCTTAGCAGTGATGTGGACACGTTGCTTGTGTGCGCTGAGTGATTCTTTGAGCATGATCTGGCGGGTCGAGGCTGGCTGGTTACAGAGACAGTGGCATGTTATATTGCGATTGACAGCTGCAATATCCAACACACCAAGTTTCAGCAAAATCTTAATTAGCTGCTTTTGACACCACTTTTATTCAAGTTCATGGGGGTCCTCTCCCCCCCCCTTCCCTCCCCCTAATTTAGGGGCATAGTAGGTATTTAGGGGCATAGTAGGTTTTGCCAAGGCCCTATGAGAGCAAGTGAACAATGTACAAGCTAGAATAGATTATCAGGGTTTGCTGGAGAGTGACCTGGAGATTTGGCTGACACTCCAAACTCAGAGGAAAGGCAAGGTAGTCAGATTACTACTGCTACCATCAGAATTGTAATTTTGCACTTGCTGGGAATGTCCGGAGTGCCCTAATCTGGATTTTTACCTCAACCTTATTAGGGTTACTAATGATGAAGTGGCCCAGGTTGATCTGGCCTTAAGTAGGTACCAGGTGCAAGTCATGGAAAGTAAAGGTGACTGGCCAATTTGTCTATAAAATACAAGTCTAGCCCTATATGTCCAATAAGCCTGAAGGCATGGAGGCGGGTCCTCTACTATTTTTTTTTTAAGGATGAAGTCTTACAGTTTAACTGCAAATACTTACAAATATCAAACCCCAAATTAAGATTTCTCATCCCTAAATTATTAATACACAAAAACTAGGCGTGCTGAAGGCAAACGTAGTCTTAGAGATTCTTCTCTTCTTTTTCATCTTCGTCTTCTTGGTCGTTTGTCTGAGTAATGTAAATATACAATGCCTGTTTACAGCACAGCTGCGGTATTTGGGCATTTTGGTCGACATATCCTACTTCTTTGGGAATTAGTTTTAACAGTTGACTTTCCCAGCTAAAAGAGAAATTGGCAAGAGGACGAAAATGGCTGTTTACCGCTCTACCTATGTACCAGTCCTGACCTATGGGTGTGAGTCATGGGCAATGACAACAGCTCACAGAAGCCAGCTGCAGGCCTCGGAAATGAGATACCTGAGAAAGGTGGTCCAAGTGACAAGAAGGGACAAAGTCCGCAATCAGACAATACGTCAAGATCTTGATACCCAGCCCTTACTAACCCGAGTGGATCAGTCACAGTTACGATGGTTTGGACATGTGTGCAGAATGGGAGAAAATCGGCCACCATGGCAAGCATGGGAGGCTAAGAACCAGGAAACCAGACCTCCGGGACGACCCAGGGTGCGCTGGGAAGACAACATCCGACAGTCCCTGACTGACAGAGGACTGGAATGGAACAAAGCCAGAAAGAAAACTGCTGATAGAGACGTCTGGCGATCTCTCTGGCAAACCTCTACACCCCAAGGTAGAAGAGGAGCGACTAAGTAAGTAAGTAAGACTTTCCCAGCTAGTTTCATAGCACAGGTATGTTCGTTTTCAGTCTCGATTGTGCAGGGGGGTTTGTTATCTGATTTATAAGTGTTATCCCTTGAAAACCTGTTAAGGTTAGCATGTATAGACTGGTCGGCCCTCAAGGGAAGGCAGGGGCTGAGCAAGGGCATTCAGGTCAGGAGGCTTCCATAAGTGCAAAGATCCGTCATATTCTGCACATGACTGTTTAACCTCACATTTTTATATTGAGCCTTCCATCATAATGGGCTTTAGGGGATCACCAGGAAGCAGTTGACAGACCTGAGATGTTTGATTGGCTTCACAAACTAGGGCATTTTGTTTGATTGGCTTCACAAACTAGGGCATTTTGTTTGATTGGCTTCACAAAATAGGGCATTTTGTTTGATTGGCTTCACAAACTAGGGCATTTTGTTTGATTGGCTTCACAAACTAGGGCATTTTGTTTGATTGGCTTCACAAACTAGGGCATTTTGTTTGATTGGCTTCACAACTAGGGCATTTTGTTTGATTGGCTTCACAAACTAGGGCATTTTGTTTGATTGGCTTCACAAACTAGGGCATTTTGTTTGATTGGCTTCACAAACTAGGGCATTTTGTTTGATTGGCTTCACAAACTAGGGCATTTTGTTTGATTGGCTTCACAAACTAGGCATTTTGTTTGATTGGCTTCACAAACTAGGGCATTTTGTTTGATTGGCTTCACAAACTAGGGCATTTTGTTTGATTGGCTTCACAAACTAGGGCATTTTGTTTGATTGGCTTCACAAACTAGGGCATTTTGTTTGATTGGTTTCACAAACTAGGGCATTTTGTTTGATTGGCTTCACAAACTAGGGCATTTTGTTTGATTGGCTTCACAAACTAGGGCATTTTGTTTGATTGGCTTCACAAACTAGGGCATTTTGTTTGATTGGCTTCACAAACTAGGGCATTTTGCTTCCTCAGCATGTTAGACCTCTGTCTATTCCATTGGCACTTTTCATGTGGATGCCTTAGGACATTTTCTTCAGCATTTATGGGAAGCATGAATATCATGTATAGTCATTGTTCCTGTGATTAGTATCGCCGGGTAGGGAATTTAGGAACTTTCTGTTTAGGTAGGATCTTCGAGTGAATAACATACTTTTGGTGCATGTCATAAACTTGCCAGCATCACGCCAGGCGCGACCTTTGTCACAGGCTGTACTATGTTCTAAGGGTGTCGTGTTATTTATTTATTTATTTATGTTTTGTTATTCTCAACAATATAAGCATTCTGTATTCTCACGCCTTGAGGGGCCAGCACTTTCTGTTGTCCACATTGTGAGCCACCCATCACTGTGTGTATGTTACAGCATGGTGAGGTGGCCCTTCATCACGCCAGGCGCGACCTGTCTGTATGTTACAGCATCATGCGGTGGCCCTTCATCGCTGTCACTGCGGCCTTAATTGGTGACTTGAACTTTGAGGTGAATGTCTTTTGCGGACCACACCTAAATGTCACCAGTTGTCAAACCAGTGACGGTTGCACAAGAGACAGAGCTCACAGAGAAAAGATAACTTGTTGAACAAACAAACAAACAAACAAAAAGAAGGCAAGAAGGACCCCTTTCGATCAATGTCGGCTGCCACCAAAGAGAGCTGCAGACTTTACATTGTGTCAGGCCTCAAACCAATGGCAGCTGGTTTTGCGCATGGTGTGTATCGAAGGGAGTATGCATACTTACACCCCAAGGACATACAGCAGCCTATGGGATTGGGCGACAGCATGAATGGAAGCCGACACACAATCGTTCGCCCGGCATGATGCAGGCAAGTTCTTGATATGTACCAGCCTTTGCTGTCAAACAGTAGGACACTCGATGGACGAACATTTAATCTTAGAGGCCATGTAATAGGACTTTTGAATCCAAATTTGTCATTTAGTAGAATACTGAGTTAGCGGATTTAATTCATGTTTCAAATAAGTTTTCGATAGACATCACCCATACCTTGGGGGTGGGTTGATGAGTGCGAGAGTGCATCTGGGGGGGGGGGGGGTCGTCCACTCTGAGATTCCTTGCAACCTCTGTTTAGGCTGCTATAGACCATTATCCACGGCTCACGATGAGGACATGTAGCTGGGGTCTTGGATGAGGACCCGTAAAAAAAAAATAGCACAGAAATCGCTGGGGCCAGAGGTGAGGTTCAAAGTATCTCCTCTTACACAGCAGAATGGCTTTAAATTTTGCTCATGACTGTGACTGAAATCACTGTGCCATAGCTTGAAGGATCTCATTTGAAAGCTTTTAACCTGATGAACAAACCCCAAACAGATTTAAATGTGTTGGCTCAGTATTGCAGCTCTACTTGCTCCCCCGCCCCCCTTTCACGTGGGCTGCAGGGCCCTGATTTTGTTTAGGGAAAAAGAATATTTCCACTGTCCTGTTATAGACAGGGGGCTGCGTGGTCTCGAGGCATGATGTCCGCCACTAGTGCTGGAGGCTCCAGGTTTAGTCCTTGGTAAGGGCTGAAATTTTTTCACTTGGACTTCTAGTAATTCTTCCTGGTCTCTGGGTAGTGAGATCGGAAGCCTTTGTGAATTGTTGCGCACGCAAAAAATCCCTTGGCAGTTGGAAATCGAAAAGAGTAGCCAAACGGCGCTGCCAGGGCAAAATTTGGAGTTTAAAATCTGCCCAAAGTATTTCAGGATCCTCGCCGGTGCTGCAGAGCCTGTGCACTGTGTTGAGCTTCTCCAGACTTGAGTTAGAAGAACGGAGCACTTAGGGTTACTACCCGTGTGCCATGATGTTTACAGCTGGTGAATGCCAAGAAGAAGACTACACCATGCATCTGTGTATGTATTTCATGGAAACAAAAACAGTCCGGTACAGAGGTTCTGGAAAGGCTATGAACGAAAAGAGAATTACTGAAAGAAATAAAAGATTGACAATTGAAATACATTGGCCACATTAAAAGACAGAATACGCTTTTTAAAACTATACTGGAGGGAAAGGTCGAGAGCAAGAGGTTGACAATGATACAAGTGGGAAGACAACATCAAGAGGACAAACAGCAGTCTGAGTGCTAGTAACAGAGATAGAGCATGTTGGAAATCTATTGCAGCTGACCTTTAATGTGAAGAGGGCACCTGATTGATTGATTGAATTCTGTAATAGCAGTGAATTAATTTTTCATGATTGTAAACTGTTTTATTTCAGGCAGTCCTTGCTAGACAAACTTCCCAGCAGTATAGTTCAGTGTGGGGTCAACAAGCAGGGATTACCCAGTGGTCACTACTTGCAGAGGCTAGAGAGGAGTGTGGACAGAATCTTGCCCCATGGTCAACCTCAGCTCCATGACCCGCACTGTATACAGCAGACACATCTACCAGTGCACAGGATAAAGATGGGTACGCTTCCTATACCACATGATACCCAGGGAGAAGGGAAACATGATCTGGCTCTCTCAGAGTCACAGTCTTTGCTTCTAGAGCCACATGACTCAAGGACCAGCAGTCGTTTGTCTCATTCTCCGATCATTTACAGTCAGATCTTGATAGATTCACCCCCACAACAACAGCAGCAGAGACAGCCAACATTAGCACCACCACAGAACTCCAGAAAATTAGCACAGTCGCCCAGTACTTGGACTAACCAGGTCACATCCCCTGAGGTCAAAGAGCACCAATTTGACCCCGCAGGAGCAGCTTCTCCAGCAGTCCAACAGCAACCTTCCAGCCTGGGCTTAGACCCCAAGCAACAAGTGCTTGTTTGTCCTCCAGCATCATTTGCCTCAGTGATGACACATCCCGAGAAATCTCCATCTCCTGAGGACGATGATGGTCAGAATTTTGCCATCTCCAAACACGAACCCATACAAAACATCATTGGTAGTCATTCACCGACGGACATTCTCTACCTCATCTGTCGCCTCTGCAGACAAACATATGGCAGCCCGTATGGCTTCAGAAAGCATTTCAGAAACCAGCATGGGTTCGAACCTAAAGCTGATCATACGATTGTACAGACAATCTCAGCCACCAAGACAGCAATGGCACACACAGAACATTCACATCTGCTTGATGAAACATCATTGTATCCAACGTACAAACGAGAGAAACCAATTGACAATAGCGAAAGCTCAAAATCCCAATCAGCAGACACTGCTGCCACTCGATCTGGTCCCATAAATAACCCTGAGATGCCTGAAGATTGTAAGGAACACATCAAAAAAGAGATGGACACAAAATGCTTGGAATGCCCTGAATGTGGCCAGACGTTCCAGCTGAACGATTTTGGATCTTACAAAAGACACTGCCGGCAGCACAACCTTCATCGAAGTTATGGCCCTTTTGCCTGTCATGACTGTCGTAAGTCTTTTGCTGAACCACAACTGCTCCGAGAGCACCTCCTGACTCATAGCTCAGTGACCTCTAGTCTTTGTGGGATATGTCATATTTTTTTCTCTTCGCCTGATCATTTGGCAGAGCACCTTCATGTGGCTCATGGACACACACAAGGTAGTGAAGAAGGAGTGAAGTCTTCGCCTCATCCATATGGTCCTGAAAGTAACAGATTGATGGATCATACCCAGACATCGGAGCTTGGAAACCAGTCTAGCTTACCGGTGAAAAAATATGAGTTTTCCTCTTGTCAGTCAGAAACTGTGTCAGCTTCTTCGACTAGCACTTCACCATCATCAACCAAATTTAGTTCTTTACAACCACCAACCCAGGAATTAAGACTGTCAAGGTCTTCAGCCAGCCATTGTCTGCCAACATCAAAGCATCATCAGTGGAACAAACCTTCGCCTGTAGATCCCCACATGTTCACAGTCCACACACCCAAAGACCTGGAAGTCAAGAAGTTGCCTGCGGATGGTATTGTCACCACTGCCAGCCCTGACAGCAGTTACGATGATGCCAAGCTTCATGTGGACTCTCAGCCAGCAAGCAGCACGTCTCAGAGATCCACCGTCTCTACAGAAGCTCCAACAATTAATGAAAATGACACAGTCAATAGTGATAGCCAGGAACCCTCTAATAACTCTCCACACAATGGGGATAAAGAAAGTGCCAGCAACTCTTCACACAATGGGGATAAAGAAAGTGCCAGCAACTCTTCAGACAATGACAGCAAAGAAAGTACTGTTTCTTTTCCATCTAAAACAGATGAGAGTTCCAACTCATTTAATTCTTTGAGTGTGACAGTGAAGGCTGCTAATTCTAGTTCATCATCAGAATTGGACGAAGCTAACTCATTTTATAGACACAAAAAATATGGTCGCCACTGGAAAAGACACAGTGTTAGTGACGGTGACGGGGAACCAAGCACAAAGTCTCCGAAACTTGATGGAGTCAGCCTAGTTCACAGACAGTCTCCCTTCGCCGTTTCATCCACAAATAATTCTGTAGTCACTGTGCAGGACTGTCAGTCTTCCAGTCCCAGCATGGAAGAGCCTTCTCCAAAGCTGAACCGACCTGATGAGGACAAGGGGATGAAAGCTTTTGAAAACCAGTTTTATGAGGATCAGCTTCATAAACTTGGAAGGAAGCAGAAAAATGATAAAACTGTGAATTCTTCTGACCATAAAAACGACATTGTGAAAGTGGGTGGTACCATTGTAAGAGATTTTAAATGGGACAGGCAGACCCGAAGTCAGGCAGGAAAGTCATCAAACATGGCCACACGTCTGCCATAAACATTTTGGCATCCTTGTGGGTTTTATTTACCGAAGTACGTGTGTTCGCATGGTTAGAATATCAACTTCTTATGTGTGGAATAACGCAAGTTATTTCTGGGATCCCACTTATGCGTGAATTCCTTCAGCCCCAGACAATGAAAGATGTGTTACTGACTATTCCCGACCTGTCTCAAACATCACATCAAGTGTTTTCTTATATTTAAGTTCTGGTCATTGTATACTAAATAAATCTGGCGACCAGAGGGGTATCTTTAATTAATTTTTGATTGCCTAAAACACAGCAAGTAGTTAGTTTTTGTAGCAATATTTAATGGAAACAATCATAATTTTTCTATGAAACCTTATCGGACCGAAAGAGTTGAGCTTGGACTGGAAATGGGGAATCTGTTCTTATTTGCTTAACATCCAGAATATGGCTGGTTAGGTCACAGCTTCAGGGAGCAGCAAAAGGCCACATAAATAGAACTTGATCTCAGTGTAGCAGATATGAGTTTATCTTTTAAAATCTCTTTGCCGTTTGTGCATTTGATGGGAGCTTTGATGGCACAGCTAAATGTTGACTGTTGAATTAAGAATCAACATCATAGCACTCAGAACACTCCCATAAATACTTCATCCCCATCTTCAGCAGCAAGCATAGAGTTTCATTTCTGATGGTACTTATACTTGTTTATGTGCCTTGCCTTTCCCTTGATTGTTGAGCATCGGCCAGATCTCGTGGTAACTCCTCACAACGCTATTCTCCTCAACCCATAATGATCTATCTCTGCCTCCGCACTGTTCACTTACTCCCAAAGGGCCCTCACAACATCTAGCTTGTCATACATCAGTTCACAACCAAGTGGTGCAGAACCAGCCAGTCTTTCTGACTGCTCGTTTCCCAACACACCGGCATGACCTAGAGAAAATATCCAAAAGACGATAACTACCTCTGAAGCGATGCTTGCCACTCTTCACGGAGCATGCCTGTCTCTACCTTTTTCAACATGCTCTGTGAGTTGGTTACAATTATGACATGTGTGTACAGCTGATTCTTAAGCCAGCAGAAGGCAGCAGTCACTGCCTTCACCTCCATTCTCAAACTAAATGTGATAGCAAATGCCAGGCTTTGCCCCAAGCGACGTCCATTCACTTTTTGCTATAATCCCCATGCACTTCATCTGTCTCAACACAGAGGCAACTGTATAGATAATCACATCACACAGAGGCAACTGTATAGATAATCACATCACACAGCAGAGTTATTACTGTGGGTCAAGGGTTTTTCAAGTGGTGCCTCCTTGAATATATCTCAAGGAAACACCCATCGCCTTCCCCAACTGTAAAAAAAAAGTGATTAAAAAGAGGAGAAAAAATAAAAATCCCGAGCCAATTGACCAACTGTAAACTCTGCAGGAAGGTCCGACTGTGTTCGACCACTTCTAGACTTTGTTTTATTCTAGAATTTGAGTTCTGCGTGTATATACATTTTACAGATCTGGCTTATTTGTGTGCATATTTGTTAGTTCCTCACCTCTCAGGTAGATGCGCTCTGATGCAGCTCATTAATCAGCTTTTACGTGCCAGTGGGGGAGGGGATGCCAGTGGGTTTAATTCCTTTTTACCCGCATCCCCAGACCCCCTATTGAGGCCCCACAACCCACACCAGGCAAGGAATCAACAGTCTGCATGTCTGTAAAATGGATGTGCACGCAGAACTGAAGTTCTGGATCAAGTCTAGAAGCGGACGTTTGATCCAAACTTTCTGCTGGAGTTTACAGCCAGTACAGACAAAGAAACTCACACCCTCATGCTGGTAAGAAAGTACACAACCAGCTTTGCCATCACAGCTCTGTTCGTTTGATTTTAGGGCTACCGTATTCTTTCATAATCACATATGGCATATGTACATACGTTATTGAAGTGTTCAGAGAACTGACGCCATGTTTGTGTTGTCATGCCATTTTTTTTACATTTATGTCTATTTGTGTATATTACAAGCCCTTACGTGCAGCCATAATATGCTTTTTTTGTATATGCTGGTTTTAATTGGAGTAATGTTTTGTCATTTCTTATGAGCATTTTGTTTATGTCTGTAAATGGAAATTAGTGTAAAAAATGTGCTTATGTGCCTGATTATTTATATTTGCTTACATACATTATGTACTAAATTCTTGTATTATGCATATAATTGTGATAATGTAAATTATTGAACATAAAGCATTGTTGTCAGTATATATGCCAGTTGCATGGTTTGTTCAGATAGTTATTTTTTCTGTCAGTCTATTTACTCTCCTATCCTGGGGTGTCGGTGTATCTTCTTCTTTCTTCTTTGCGTTCACCAGCTGTAAACTCTGGAGGAAAGTTCTGGTTTTCATCCACTTCCTACTGCAGTCCTGTTCCAGAACCTGAGTGTTGCGTGTGCACCTTTTTTCACATGTCTGACTCAGTTGTATGCAGACTGTTGGTTCCTTGCCTCTCAGGCAGATGCACTCTGACTTCAAAGGAAACTGTCCTAGTCGCCTTGTACGACAAGCTTGTTAGGGTGGCAGTTCGTCTGTTCTTCCCCCTTCCCACAAAATTGGCCTCGGAACTCACATGTAGATGTTGCATATTCAACAATTGATGAACCATTTCAATCAAAGAACGTGCCACAATAGTTGCCGACTGGAGAGGACAAAAACTGCATTGGACAGACCCATCGGGATGTGTGCACATGTTGAAAGCGGGTAACAAAGAAATTGTTTATTTAATTTAAACATGCGTGTTCATGAGGACATATGATTAATATGCTATGCATTAATTATGAGGACGTATAATTGATGTGCTCTGTACTCATTATGGGGCATGGCTATGTGTTCACTTTTTATGAGGACATATGATTAATGTGCGGTGCGTTTATTGTAAGGACATACAATTGATGTGCTCTGTTTTAAGTATGAAGCATGGATGTGTGTTCATTCATTTTTAGCACATGCGGTTAATAATATATGTGTTCCTTATGAGGATAAATTGCTAATGAGATGCAGGAATGGCAGTTTCTGGTGATGGTCACACTGCAGCAGCAGCTCTTGCAGTTCCATTAGATCAGGGCTATTCAACTCAGGGGCCAAAATTTTGAAAATGGGGGGGGGGGGGGGGTCATCACGGGTCAGAGGTCAGACCCCAGCACAGACAGGTCATTAATACAATACAACCAGCAGTGATCCGTGGGCCACCAGTTGAATAGCCCTGCATTAGAATATGTGAAGAACTCTGTATTCTGTCACAGTTAGCCCTGCATTAGAATATGTGAAGAACTCTGTATTCTGTCACAGTTAGCCCTGCATCAGAATATGTGAAGAACTCTGTATTCTATCATTCTGTCACAGTTAGCCCTGCATTAGAATATGTGAAGAACTCTGTATTCTGTCACAGTTAGCCCTGCATTAGAATATGTGAAGAACTCTGTATTCTATCACAGTTAGCACTGCATTAGAATATGTGAAGAACTCTGTATTCTATCACAGTTAGCCCTGCATTAGAATATGTGAAGAACTCTGTATTCTATCACAGTTAGCCCTGCATTAGAATATTTGAGGAACTCTGTATTCTATCACAGTTAGCCCTGCATTAGAATATGTGAAGAACTCTGTATTCTATCACAGTTAGCCCTGCATTAGAATATGTGAAGAACTCTGTATTCTATCACAGTTAGCCCTGCATTAGAATATGTGAAGAACTCTGTATTCTATCACAGTTAGCCCTGCATTAGAATATGTGAAGAACTCTGTATTCTATCACAGTTAGCCCTGCATTAGAATATGTGAAGAACTCTGTATTCTATCACAGTTAGCCCTGCATTAGAATATGTGAAGAACTCTGTATTCTATCACAGTTAGCCCTGCATTAGAATATGTGAAGAACTCTGTATTCTATCATTCTATCACAGTAACCAGAGGGTCTGGCCGGCTCACTACATTCAGAGGAAAGGTAAGACGGAAATATAACTAGATTATGACTGGTACAAGTAGTATTGGAACTTAGCACTAGCTGTTGAAGATAAGGACAGAGCAAGCATGGGAGTGCTGTGGTGTCAATTTTTGGCTCACCTTAACTCAGCTCACAGAGGGTCTATACCGGTCAGGTGTTTCATGTGTATATAATGTAGTATAGAATAATCTAATTAAAGTAAAATAAAAGTAAATTGTAGTATAGTAAAATGTAAGTACAGTGAAATGTAGTAAAATAAAATATAAGTAAAATAACAGTACAGTAAATTGCATGTCAAGTAAAAATGTGAGTGTAGTAAAATAAAATGTAAGTAAAATAACAGTACAGTGAATTGCATGTTAAGTAAAACTGTGAGTAAAGAAATTGTAGTAACATAAAATGTAAGTATAATGTAAGGAAATGTGTTGGACCAAAAAGAGCAGATATCACAGCATAGCTGTAAACGACAACACACTTTGCTAACCGCCTTTTTTGAGTGTGAACATTGAAGAAGAAGTAGATCTGTATTTTGTACAATGGCGCTCATTGGGTGATGTAAGCAGCATCTTTGGTTGGGGGGGTCGTGCAGGTGTCCCCCTGAGGAGTTGGTTACAGTGACTTAAATGTTGACCTTGAAGAAGGAAACACAGGTGTTTAGCCACATGCATAATTTCTTGACTACAAATGGCACTTTCTTGGGCATGTTCTCTGCCACCACACCAGATTGATTTTTACTTGTTTCATGGGCATATGTTGGTTTATTTCATATGAATATGTTTATAGACATAATTTGATTTATAGGCTTTTACTTTTATGAACATGGTTCATTGACCAGTGCATTTCTCCAGACATAATTTCATTTATTGCCATAGTGTCTTTTTTGTCTTTCTTATGTTCATTAATTTCCTTGCCATATGTAGTTGTTGTTTAAACTTGAATTTGTGGACACAGCGTTGTGTATTTGTGTGTATTATTAGAGTCATGAACACAGTGTTGTGTGTGTGTATTATTTGAGTGATGAACACAGTGTTGTGTGTGTTTTATTT